GAGAAAGGGTTTATTGTGGCCCACAGTTCCACTCCATCATGGTCAGGAAGATATGACAGCAGGAATGTGCTGGCCGTCACAGTGCCCTGGTCTGGCAGCAGAGAGCGTGGAACTAGGCTACCCAATCCCAAGTCTGCTCTCAGTGGCATGCTTCCTTCAGCCAGGTCCCACCACCTTTCCAAACAGCACCTCCAGCTGGGGACCAAGTGTTCACACACATGTGCCTATGGCTGACATTTCACATTCAAACCACAAGAGGCTCACAGTAGAGACTGGCTTCAGTCCTAGAGGACCCTTTGGACTTTTTAACAGAGCTGGAACTTTGAAGGTTTAAGGGCCTTTTAGAGATGGACTAAATAAGTTTTGCAATATGAGATGAAGGAGACTTAGGGGCCAAGGGTGGAGTTGTCACTACTTAGTGTGCTGTAATTTGGTGTCACATTGAGAAAAGATGGAGTTGTGCTGGTCTTCCTTGTCGGCTTGACTGGATTTAGAATTACTGTTGCAGGCAGCAAAGCTGGAAGGGTGGATCTAACTGAACTCTTTTTGTTTGTTTGTTTGTTTTTTGTTTTGTTTTTCGAGACAGGTTTTCTCTGTGTAGTTTTCCAGCCTGTCCTGGAACTCAGTCTGTAGCCCAGGCTGGCCTCGAACTCACAGAGATCTGCCTGGCTCTGCCTCCCCAGCGCTGGGACTAAAGGCGTGCGCCACCACCGCCCAGCTCTACCTGAACTCTTTGACATCAGATATGAACTACAGGATTTTGAGTTTGCCCTGCTGAGTCTTGGTCTTTTGGGTCCAGTGTTTCCTCTCTATGTCCCTTTCCTCCCTTTTGGGTGGTAATGTATATTTTGTGCCATTGTATGCTGGAAGTTTGTAATCTGCTTTTTGAATTTACAGAGGGTTTGGTGTAGGAGTTAAGAGATTGCCTTCAGTCTCAGAAGAAACTTTGGATTTTTAAACTGTACTGAGATTGTGAAAGACTATAGGGACTTTTGAATTGGACTGAATGCATTTGTTTATGATATGGCCACCTATAGGGGCCAGGGAATGGGATGCAGCAGTTTGAATGAGGATGACCCCCATAGTTTTATGTTTTAATATTTGGTTCCCTCACTGCCAGGCATGATGACACACTCCTTTAATCCCAGCACTCGGGAGGCACAGGCAGGCGGATGTCTGAGGTTGATGTTTGTTCTACAAAGCAAGTTCCAACACACAGCCAGGGCTGTTATAGAGAGAAACCTTATCTCAAAACACAAAACAACAATAGCAAAAAAAAAAAAAAAGTCTCCAATTGGTGGAACTGTTTGGAAAGGATCAGGGCTAGGGTTAGGGTGTGTCCTTTTTGAAGAAGGTGTGTCACTGGGGGGCTTTGAGGTTTCAAAGACTCAGACTGTCCCCAGACACTCCCTCCTTTTGTCCCTTTCTCCCTCTCTGACTTGTGCTTGTGGATGAAGATGTGAGTCCTTAGCTGTTCCTGCCACTATGTCCTCATTTTACTATCTTGGACTCTAACCCTCTAAAACTGTAAGCTCAAATTAAATGTTTTATAAGTTGTCTTGGTCATGGTGTCTTTTCTGTTTATTTTTTAGAGACAAGGTTTCTCTGTGTCCTAGAACTAGCTCTATAGACCAGGCTGCCTCTGCCTCACAAGTGCTGGGATTACAGGCGTGTCCCACCGTCCGGCCTGTGTGGTGGTTTCTTGCTCCTCATTCCTTCTTTGTATGTTAGTTGGTATTTCATAATAGGGACTTTTCTATCTTTTACATTTTTATTTTTTTAAAGTGTGTGTGTAGGTCAGATATCACTTGCATGTGTAGGTTGGATAACATGTTGCAGGAGGCAGTTCTCTCTCCCACCACGTGGGTCCCAGGGATGGATCCTGGGCAGTAACACTTGCCAACAAGCACCATCACCCACTGAGCAATTGTACCTGCCCCTATCTTTATGTTTTTACAGAGGGCAGACTTGATGTTTGGTTCCGCGTCCCTCTCCAGCCTGGTCTCCCAGTCTGTTTCAGGCATGCCTCCTGAGCTATAAAATTGGGAAGATGCCCAGCTCTGCCCTATTCCTTGGGCAATACCATGACCCTCTTTTCTGAGCACTTTCTCTTTTTTCTTTTCCTTTTTTTTTTTAAATAGATGATTGTGAGCCACCATGTGGGTGCTGGGAATTGAACTCAGGACCTCTGGAAGAGCACTGGCTGCTCTTAACCTCTGAGCCATCTCTCCAGCCCCTGAGCACTTTCTTATCAGTCCAGGAGAGAGTGGATTGAGGCTCAGCACTCTTCAGTTTGGGCCCCACATTTGACCTTCTCTAGATTCCATGCCAAACTCATGCAAGGCTATGCCCAACCAAAGGTCACTGGCCCAACCAAGGCAATGGCCTGCTCAATGGGGGTGGCCAACAAGATGGGGGGGACAGCATCCATGCTCACTGTCCCAGCCATGGCAGACTGTTTGCTGGCTGGGTGGGGCTCCCTAGACCTAGCTCTCCTTCCACTCTGCCCTTCTGCAAGTCCTGCTGAGGCTGGGAGCCATCCCAGCTCTCCCTGGGAGCTGCAAATTCAATAAAGCTCTGCTAGGCTCCCCCAGCAATGAGAACTGCAATCCTCAGAAGTCACAGAACCCTGGGGCCGGTCCCAGCCCCAGCAGAGTGGCCAGTTCTGAACTAGAATGAAATCTCACCTGTCCTGTCTCCAGGTACATCTGTGACTTTTGTTCTTGAACCTGAGTCCACCTGATGGCAGGTGAGGTCTACCTGGCCCATCTATTCATACAGGTTTGCCAAACTCAAGCTCTTGTGCTGGGTCGAGCTTTCTCTCTCCTTTCTCTCTCTCTCTCTCTCTCTCTCTCTCTCTCTCTCTCTGTGTGTGTGTGTGTGTGTGTGTGTGTGTGTGTGTGTGTGTGTGTGTGTGTGAAGAGGCAGGAAAATGAATGGCAAGGTGTGCCCACAATAAACTCAAGAGCTATATGGAGATAAACCCATGAAAGGCGAGTAGGAGACATGCTTTGCAGGTAGACTGTCAGCCTAGAATCCACCAGTGACGGTGGCTTATTGGAAAGTATTTGTTTACACTGTGTGAAGATGTGTCACTGTGATTTGTTTAGTAAACAGCTGAACGGCCAATAGCTGGGCAGGAGAATAGGTGGGACTTCCATGGAGGGAGAAACTCGGGAAGAATTGAGTGTGCAGAGACGCCAGCAAGGCACTGAAGTTGGACGTACATTACAGAGACGAGGTAACTGAGCCACGTGACAGAATGTAGATTAATAGAAGCAGGTTAATTTAAGTTATAAGAGCTAGTTTGAAAAAGCCCAAGCTAAGGCCAAGCTTTCCTAACTAATAAGTTGTCTCTGTGTTGTTTGTTGTGAGCTGGCGGCCCACAGGAAAGTCTGACTACAGAGGCTCAGCCTTGGGCACTTAACCAGCATGCACAAGAACATGGTTTGATTCCCAGCACAGGAGGAGGAGGAACTCTGACAAGGCTCAACCTTAGAGCACCTAAAGAAAGAGAAACTCAATTTCTTTAGCCTAGCGGTGGTGGCGCACGCCTTTAATCCCAGCACTCGGGAGGCAGAAGCAGGCGGGGCTCTGTGAGTTCGAGGCCATCCTGGTCTACAGAGCGAGTTCCAGGACAGCTAGAACTGTTACACAGGGGCGGGGGAGAGAGGAGAGGAGGAGGAGAGTAGAGGCCTGCACTGGTCGGTCACCATCTATGATTCTGCACAGTAGGTGCTCGACTGATAAATCGACTATTTAAATATGCTCCACAGTGTCTTCTTACACAGCTTTGCTAGCAAAGCGCTCTGTAGCTCTCTGCAGCTTCGGAGCCTTTACACACCCTATATCTCCACCCATGTGTCAGTAGAGCCAGGACCGAGCCTGGTACCAGGCAGGGGCACTTAAAGACTGAAAGACTGAATGAAAGCACGATTGCCTTTGTCTATTGTGTGGAGGGGAAGAAGCAGAGACACGCGGGACCCTCCCCATTCACTATGGCCCACTCCCTGGAATCAAAGCATCTCTTTGGGAGGGAAGCTGGGCTGGGGGTTGCCTTCGGCTCCCTCGCTGACTTCCCAAAGATCCTGCTTTTCTGGATACCGAGCGCAGTCCTCCAAACCCCGTCCTCTGACTCTTACTGCCAGCTCCCGCCCCGTCCACCCGTCCGATCACCCGTCCGCCCACCCGCGCAGCCCCGCAATGGTTCAGCCCGACGCCATTTAGACCAAGTGAGGTCGGACCACTGCGCGCACGGTGTGGGGGGGAGGCCGAGGCGCGGCGGAGGGATCCCTCGGAGCGTTCCGACGGCAGGCGCCCATTGGCCGCGAGTGCAGGCGGCCGCCGCTGATTGGTCCGCTCGGGACGCCGGCCCCGCCCAGGTACCGGAGGCCGAGGGAGAAGCCGGGCGGAGTTTCCAGAGGACCGAACCGGGCGCGCGGGGTGGCGGCGGCGCAGGTGAGTGTCCCCCGGCCGGGGGCGGCCTCCCGGGCGTGGAGCCGTGGCGGCGGGGTGGGGCTGGCCGCGTCGGGACCCCAAACACGGACCCCTCCCCGCTGGCCCGGGCCTCCGGGCCGCCCTGCCCTCTGCTCCCGGGACGCTCCCTGTTGGTGGTGGGTCCCGACCCCTCCCGGGCCCCTGCCCAGGAGCTGGCCGCGGGGGCACCGAGACCGCCCAGGTCCGGATAACGAGAACAACCGCAGCAATAGTTTGAATCCTCCCCCCTCGCTAGCCCGGACCCAGCGCTTCCTCGTCAGACGCTTATGGTGCACAGCACTGAATCAAAACAGCCTCCTGGGAGGGGCAGTTAACTTCTTGTAGAAGTGAGGCATCAGGGCCAGAGAGGTGGAGTGTCTCACTCCAGGTCACACAGCCAGTAAGTGGCGGGTGGGGATGAGGGACCCATGCCTTTGGGTCCAGAAACTAGTCGCAGAGATCGTCCCTGACCAACCCTGCACGCATTGCACACCGCCGCCCCCATAGCCACTTCGGAGCCGCACCTGCTGGGTTTTGCTTCCTTCCCCGCGCCCACAGGTCACTAGACAGCTTCCAAGTTGCTCTCGTGTCCCTTTTCTTGAGCTGGAGAGGCAAGGCCCAAACACCGTGGGCCCTTTAATGGCATCCCCTCTCCGTCTACCCTGTCACTCTTTACTGCGGAGAGAAATGACTGGGAGTGTAGAGGCTGGGTGTCTCGGGAGCGGGGCTACCGGCGGCCAAGACAGGGCAAGCACCGGGCAAGCGGTGTGTTCACGCCCCTAGCCCCCGCCCCGGAAACACTGGAGAGATGAAACCTTCAGGATCCGGTTTTTCAAGAATGAATCAGAGGCCTCCCCGCCCTCCTCCCCAAAGCAGAACAGTGCTGGGGGTTAGGAGGGAGGGACGACAGAGGAGCAGGTGTGGTGTCCCCTAAGCCAGGCGTTATCTGAGCCCCGGGAACCCCCCTTCCCTACTTCCTGCTCCTCCCACTTAGCTTTTCTGTGACTGCGGGTTGCTAAGTTTTAGGCCCTTCTTGGGATGAGAGCGCTGGACTCCGGAAATCCATCCAACCCACTTCCCTTCAGCTCCTGCAGACGGCGGGGAGGTGCTCAAAGCTCTCTAGCAGTCCTGTTGGTGAGGCTTGGGCCACAGTCAGGGCTATAAGACATTCATTCTACAGTTCAGCCCTTGTGGAACCTGAGGCCTCATGTGCCAGGCAGGTGCTCTGCCTCTGAGCTACACCCCCATCACCTACAAATACTAAGCAGCCCTGTGCCAGGCACCATATTTTGTTTGGAGGGGACTGACCTCCAAATGCAGGACAGAATTCTCATTCTAGTGGGGAACAAGCAACAAGTTAACATGGGCAGCTATTGCAGATCCTGGGCATCACTGGGCAGGGGGATCACACACACCCCAGACAGAGCAAAGTAGTTGGGACAAAGGATGACGCTAGAGATGGATTCTATAGAAGTTTGGGGTGCCTGGTACACAGGACACATTTTTTTATTTTTCGAGTTTTCTCCTAGCCGGTGAGGTCCCTTTGTAAGGTCGGAGGTAGATGAGTGATGCCACCTGGCTTGCATTTTAAAATAGACGCAGGCTCAGGGGACAGCTCAGAGAGTGCATGCTGGGTGTTCGATTCCCAGCACCCACACGGTGGTTCACAAATGTCTCTCTCTAACTGCAGTTCTTTCTGACCTCTTCGGGCACCAGGCACCCAAGTGGGGCACAGGTGGACATGCACACAGAATAAAAATAAAATAACTTAAGAAATAGAGACACAATGATAAATAACAGCCGGGACATTGGGAGATGAGCTCTGTTAGGGTAGCATACAGTTAAGTTCATAGGCCTGAGTCCTGTGGAGCAACTCCCATGGGCTGGGCAAGCCAGCTGCCTGGAGAAGTCAGGAATAGGCCTTGCCAGGCAGAGGAACTGGGTTGCTCCTGGGCCAGGGAAGGAAGATGTGACAGTAATACAGACTGGGGCAGTCTGGAGGTGTGGGTCAGTTTAGCCGTGCCGAGAATCCAGCAGGGAGGGTGAGGTCAGCAGTGCAGTGCCTTCCTAGCAGATGAAAGCCTCTAGCTTCTGTGTCCATGACTGCAAACAACACTTCCTGACGTGGTACACTAAAGTACCGAGCAGGTCACATGCAGCACAGTCTGTGGAGTACCCCACACGTAAGTACCCCGAGAGACGTGAACTCTGCCAGACTTTCAGATGAGGAAACGGGGGCCTCATAAAGCTAAGCACTTGGCTTTGTCTGTGTCACTGGTGAGTGTCAAGGGTGGAACTTGACCAGGCCGCCATACTGTCTTGGTCTGTGGCACTGATTTACTAGTCACTCATTTTTCCTCAATGGCCTGTGTTGCTTACCAAAGGGCACACAAAAGTAGATAAAGCAGAGTCGTGAACATGTGAAGAGACAGAGAGGAGGCTGGGGTGTGGGGTTCCAAGACAGGGAGGAAAGGCGGAGCATCAACACTTACATACCCCCAATAGTGTTCTGAGAGCTGTCCCAGGCACACACATGCACTTACACACCCTCAGTAGTGTTCTGAGAGCTGTCCCAGGCACACACATGCACTTACACACCCCCCATAGTGTTCTGAGAGCTGTCCCAGGCACACACATGTACTTACACACCCCCAATAGTGTTCTGAGAACTGTCCCAGGCACATACATGCACTTACACACCCCCAATAGTGTTCTGAGAGCTGTCCCAGGCACACACATGCACTTACACACCCCCAATAGTGTTCTGAGAACTGTCCCAGGCACACACATGCACTCACACACCCCCAATAGTGTTCTGAGAACTGTCCCAGGCACACACATGCACTTACACACCCCCAATAGTGTTCTGAGAGCTGTCCCAGGCACACACATGCACTTACACACCTCCCATAGTGTTCTGAGAACTGTCCCAGGCACACACATGTACTTACACACCCCCAATAGTGTTCTGAGAACTGTCCCAGGCACGCACATGCACTTACACACCCCAATAGTATTCTGAGAACTGTTCCAGGCACACACATGCACTTACACACCCTCAGTAGTGTTCTGAGAACTGTCCCAGGCACACACATGCACTTACACACCCTCAGCAGTGTTCTGAGAAATGTCCCAGGCATACACATGTACTTACACACCTCCAATAGTGTTCTGAGAGCTGTCCCAGGCACACACATGTACTTACACACCCCCAATAGTGTTCTGAGAGCTGTCCCAGGCACACACATGTACTCACACACCCCCAATAGTGTTCTGAGAGCTGTCCCAGGCACACACATGTACTTACAC